TCTACAATAATTATATATTGGGATATTTTTCCTATATCTCAATGCATGCGCTTGATTTTAAATGAGTATATTGAAAATTAGACTATTTTGATTAAAAAAAATTCCTAACAGACCGCTGAAAAAGAACCTTTAAACTATATTTTTCAGGATGCAAAAAAAAACTTTTTTTCTTCGGAAAGTCTTTTTTCTCTACTGAAGATTTTCTTGGTTATTTGATCATATTTAAACTTGTCTAGTGAATAGTTCTCATAAAATGTTTTGTTGACACTGCTTTTAGTATATCGTAATCAGTACAACAAAATATGAAGTACACCGAATATATAATCATTCAGCTGATTTATTCTTGAAGATTCTGCTAGTGTAATCAGGTACTCTTGATTGTCAAATTAAACTTTAAAGTTTAACTTTCAGGCAAAAATTTAGATTGGTCGAAAATCTTCAAGGTTTTTAGTGAATACGTTACAGAGAAACCTAGAATGGAATGATTCACATAGAAAACAGTAATATGTATACCTAGATCGAAAATGGTTCTGGTAGAAACATTCAGTTTCATTATTCTACTTCAATTCATCATATTTTTATTTAGAACTTTATGCTTCAATATTGTTCAAAACGAATATTGATAATTCGTATGGTCCTCTTTAGTGAACTTGTTTGAGTATTGTTTTGTTAAAGCTCAACGCCTCAGAGATATCTATCTATCTCTTTGCCAGTTTTTTCAATAAGAATAATGGATGTCATTATCTTTCTTAATTTAACTTCAGCAAAACATCATAACTTTATCAACTAGAGATAAGAGGTAGCTACTAGGAGAATAGATCATATATGCAAAATGTTTACGTTTACATCGGACTATTGAAGGACAAGGATATCGACAGTGGCATAAAAATAAACAACAAATAAAAAAATGATGATTCGAATTAAATCAGGAATGCGTGGAAAAATTATGTATGCTAAAATATTTTATTCTTCTAGTGAGTAAATGAAGAAAAGAATTTTGTACTGCCTCCGTCATATGCTAATTTACAAATCTTTGAATAGGTTTTGAAGCTACCAAACACATCATTTTTTCACGATATACTATAAGAAGTTTTGTTAAACATTGAAGCAAAATGCTTCCACAACTCATTGGTTCCAAATAATATGTTCAACTTTATCCATTGATTGACATTTCTTTCTATCTCTCATTTACAACTCTATGGAAGCAATATATCTTTGAACGTACTAATTCCGAATGTTAACAAACTTTCCAAAAATATTCATTGGATTTCTGTTGTTACAAAACATAAATAGATCCATGGCAAATAAAAGTATTCAAAATATCTTCTCTAAATCGTTGATAGAACCGAAAAGGAAAACGTTCTTTCTCGATAACGCGTGCAATTTATATTTTAATTCCCGCAAATTCAAGTCAAACCGAAAAAAAAAGTATTTAAAAAGAAAATTAGTTTTTCTTAACTAAAATTTAAAACAACCCAGGTCCAAGAAAACGGTGCGTAAATGGCCGTAAAAACGGCGCCGTTTCCCGTCAGCTCGGAAAACGACGAACATACTGTTAAAAACTATGGCTGTTTTCTAGCGGTAAAAACGGTCCGTAAAACAAGCTGACGGATTACGGCGAAATAAGGTGGAAATTAACGCCTTTTTATACCATTTTATAGCCGTTTCAGGCTTGTTAAGATGGCCGTTCCGACGCTCGGAATGATTGTTCTGGGAAAATAGTATTTTTTGGTTACATAGAAAAAACATTTTTAATCATTGGCCAATGAAGGTCGATTACACCTACACATTTTTTTGTAGTATCCAGCTAGACAAACGCCTTCATAATTGTAATTATGTGCTTTCGCTGGTGTTATACGAGCTTGAGTATCCAGTAAACGACTGCATGCATTTTGTTTACCGGATTCATCATCCTAAAGTAAAATTAATATGTAGATATACGTGAGAATTTTTTAATCAACTACTTTGTATTTAATATAGAGCTGCATTGCTGCTTTGGCATCTTGTGTGGCTAAATGGCCATTTGTAGCATTGAGATCAATATTTAATAAAGTCCAAGCTTCATGTGCTAACGAATGATGACTAAATAATAGTGAAAAATATGTGTAAATATCGATTAAGTTCTACTAAACGATAGGTTCAAAATACCTTATTGATCTATAACGGGCATTGTACGCTTTAAACCAATCACTAAGATCAATAACAAGTGAATAATGTGCACCTTTCTCCAGTTTTAACCATTTGAGATCATTTTTCGGGCTTTGACCAACAATGATTGTTGTTGAGTCAAAAAAAGGATAGATCTATATAATTAATAAATAAAAAATTGTTTTCAAATAAATACTTATTTTACTTGATTTAGAACTTCTTCAAGTGATGGCGCTTGTTCGAGGTCTTTAATGCGTAAGCCTGTTAGTGGGTAAAGATCACTAACAACTTTTTCTTTCGGTTTAATTAATGAACTAAATATAATTTTACATTGATCATCGACGATAGCTACACTACACGGAGATCGATCTTCATGTGTATAACTTGTTGCTACACATTCAACATCAATCGAAAGAACACGATTGTTATTGGTTGCCATATTAATTTTATAAAACAAATTCCTTGCTTGCAAATGCAAATGCAAAACAAAACTTCTGCTTATTTTATACTGTTCGAACTACTTTTTTTTGTTGTTGTTAAACAAAATGAATATATTTTACTGTTTGTCTTTCTTTCATAAGATTCACTACAAGCAGGTTCTGTTGTATATGTCGCATTATTCGCCGAAAAATTAATCATCAGTTTTTGTTTTGCATAATAAGATGTGCACAACTGCTTTATTATGATTAAATGTAATATTGATAAGCATTTGCTACTCGTTTCTCGAATTACAAAAAACATTTTGCATGTCATCATGCGCACACATTCGTTTGAAATTTCAAGACATTTCGAACGAAAAACATAATTTCTGGTTGGTCTAAGCTGAGTATAAATAATTTCAAAGATGAGAAATCAGATTTGTTTGTCATATAAAACAAAAATTCATAGATTTAGTAGCGTACCCAGAACAGTGGCGACTCTCTGGCGACGCCCTGGCACTAGAAGGTAGCGCCATTCTTGTTTTGCTTCTCACTTTTTTTTATCTGAGTGCCATGGAGGCTTGAACTTTTTATCGTAAATCTAGCATTAAGATGTGGTATATTTGGTTAAAATTCCAAGTGCCGGTAAGATTCATTTAAAAAGTTAGAAGCGAAACAAGAGTGGCGCCACCTTCTACTGTCAGAGCGCCGCCAGCTAGTAGCCACTGCCCTGGCTACGCCACTAGTCATAGATACTTTTACTTGTCTGCTATCCTACAAACAAGCAACAGTTTTTACTTGATTTTGATAATTATTTGGTCAATAAACATCGTGGTATGTCATAGTTACCCATGTTGCGAATACCGGATCAATTTTTGCGGTAAACCGTGGTATTTATCCGTTCTGCGGTAATGGGAGCCGGTAACCGAACCGGTAAAACCGGCGGTTTT